TCCTCCTCCTCCTCCTCCTCCTCCTCCTCCTCCTCCTCCTCCTCCTCCTCCTCCTCCTCCCCCTCCTTGTCCATCCTCTCTCCTGGGCGGCCTTCAAACAAGGCTGGGGCCTCCTTTGAGGGACTTTGCTCTTGTCATCAACCGTGCGCCCCACTCTGGAGAGGCGGGGGTCCTTCTTGTCCCTCTTGGAAGTCCACCCCCCTTCGCCTTGCCCCCCCCCGCCTCCTCTGTGCGCCGCCCATCAGCATCCGGGAGCTTCGGGTCGGGGAGGAGGAGGCTCGGGTCGGGGATTGGGAGAGGCGGGGGGCACGCCATCTGCTGCATACAGTTGGTTTCGACCCCGCCGCCGCGCGCCCTTCCTCAACACTTGGCCGCCCCTGGCACCAGGAGGCGAGAGGAGAACCTGGGCACGTGAGCTGATTCGCTACCCACGGTTAATTTCTTAGTATTCGGAAGTTCTTTGATTTTTGGGGGCCAAGATCCTTTCATGTCGAATTGTTCTATCCTGGGCCTCTTCCTGTCCACTGGTGGGCCAGGGACAATAAGAAACGAGCACAATTAGAAATGAGCACGATGAGAAATGAACGACATGTACCCCCCCCCCCTTGGTATCACATCGGTATCACACCCAGGCGTCCGCCCCGCGGAGTGGTCGAGAGAGGGGAGTGGGGGGCAGTCGAGGGCAGGGAGCAGGGATGGAGCGTAGGAGGGCGGCACTCTCTTGGTTCCCCGTCCGGTTTCCCACCTCAGCTTCCTTCACTGTCTTCCTACAGTGCGTGCAGTGCTCTTCGCGCTGTCTGCGCGGCGAGAATTGCCGCTCGCTACTTCGTGTTCCGTTCGATCTGTGACGCATCGAGCAGTCACTCGCGCGGCGTGCCGAAAATGCAGCAGGTGGGCCGACCGTGAAGGAGACTCTCCTCGTCGCTTTGGCCCAGCATTGGTTCAGCAGCTTCGAAGAAGCTGGCCCGACTTCCTGCGGCAGGGTCAAGTCGTGTCGACGCGGCGGCCACCCTGGCGCGGGCGCTCAAGGCTGCACGCCAACGATGGCCAGGAATCGACCGCCATCGAAAGATCAGCACTGTCAGAAAGCCGCGATAGTTCAACGTCGAAACCTGCAAACGGTGTCAGAAACCAACGCGCAAGTCGGCACGGCGCGACCTCGCCGTACCCCCTAGTAGCCCGTGCATGGTGGGCGGCAGTGACGCGGCCGACCCAGCGCGTGTCGACGGTTCTGACGGAAAGTTGGCCGAGGTTCTCCTGGGTCTGCCGTCTCTTCGGCACGAACGACATGGGCACGGAAAGAATGGGTACGATGCCCAACAGCAGTTCCTGTTCATTTTGAACAGGACTCGCTGTCCGCGCCGCCGCGGCCTGTGTCCACTTGAGACAGAAGGCCGCCCGCCCAACAGCGGCCGCTGTTGGTTTGGGACAAAATTTGTTGTTGGGCATTGTACCCATTTTTCCGTACCCATTCCGGGCGTCCAAATCTCTGGGTCATCGCCTCAATTGAATGGAGCGAGGGTCCATTGCGGGCTGAGGGCTGCACACAGCGCGGTGCCACAGCATGGTGCAGCGTGGTGTCGCCTTTCCCATTCTCACTGCAGCGCGATCTGCCCCCACACGTTTCGCGGCCCAGCAGGGGGGTCCGCCGAAGGCGTCGGGTCCATTTCGGCGCGCCCCTCGTACACTTCGTGGCCCCACATAGGGTTCTGCCGAAGGCTCGGGGTCCACTTCGGCGCGCCCCTCACCCGCGTCGTGGCCCAGAAAGGGGCCCTACCGATGACCTACCTCACGGTCAGTATCTGCCTCCGCAGGAAGCAAAGCAGAATGGGGGCGCGGGAGGACGACCTCCAGGCGATGGGGGGGGGGCGAGGCGGAAGGGTGGCCGAGAGGAGGCGGGTGCCCCGAGGCGGCGCTTGAGGATCACAGGCCACCCGAGCCAGCGGACAGGACAGCACGCTTTGGTCGGGCACTGCGCCCTTCGTTGCTCATGCATTCCCTGTACGTTTCGTCAAGCGGCAAGCTTCACAAGCCGATTGTCCACGGCCGTTGCCGTAGGCAGGATACGGATAGCCTGCAGACCTCGACATCCGCGCCGGGTGCAATTGCGACTCGAATCCGTCGAGGTTGGGACGACGATCTGTCCATTGTCTGTCGCAGTCGTTGTAGAACATGTAGCTTTGGAAGTTACTTGCTTGCCAAATCGTTCTAGTATCAGGGACATGTTAGCATATCAGATGCTTGTGCTGCTCAAGTTACACAGTCTCGGCAAAACACCAGAACAACTCAAAGGGAGCTCACGAGGACCATGTCAGATTCGCGTTCTTGCTTGCAGTCTACCGACCCCTAGTCTAGTGATGATTCCCCGGCGTGGGAGATATTTGCTTGGACGCTACCAAAGGAAGTGAGTGTTGTTTTATCGGCTTCTTTCACAGACATGACCACAAGGCCGTCTGACTCTCGATCTGTTGCACCATAAAGCACAAGCAAACGTCAGCGTCGTGCCAGTCCTGTGTGTTGCATCTGAGTGGCGTCGCGTCCCCGTGTCCTTTCGTCTTTGTCCAGGACGGTTGGTCACCTTTTCTCATCTTTTGAAGACAGGACACGGCTGATTCTGAAGAAAGGTAATTGGGTGGCCCACGCTCCTCCACCCCCCATCCCCCTTTCCATCCTCTCTGCTCCCATTCTCCGCCCCCCTCCCCCGATGCACTTCCCTCGGCTCCCCGTCTGCGTCCCTCTCCCTCTCTCTCCCTCCCCTCACCCCCCCTATTCGTTCTCCCCCCACCCCACCCCTTCTCTTGCCTCTACGCTTCCCACCCTTCCCGTCCCTATCCTCACCTTTCCCCGTCCCTCCGACCCTCAGCTTCCCTTTGCCGCGTCCCTGCACTTGCCTTTGCCCGCCCGAGCGCGCCTGCTCGCCACACGTGGTAGACGGAGCCAGCGACGGAGGGAATCATGATCGTGCGAATCAGTTGGACTTCGTTAAAGTTGTCCCGCTGGTCCCCAATCTATGGTTTGCGCTCGCACACCTGTCGCACCTGCTTCTCGTTCCACTGGTGCAGGGATCCCCGTCAGAATTGGTGTGTAATTGCGCTTGGCTGGCACTGCTCAGAGTAGCGTGAATACATCAAGCCATCACCTGCCCATGTTCTCGGTCAAAGTACCTGCTTGAGCACACACACACTGTATGTTACATATGTGATTGTGTTTCTCTTCCTCCTCGGCGTATACTCTCTGTCTGCAACGGGCCTCATCCGCCACGCAGTCCATCGATTTCCAGCATCTCGCTCTGGTCTCGATCACCAAATTAATGCCGTGTCCGCGCGGATCCGGCGAGAAAACAGCGGCTTCAAGCGGACCTCCGTTCGAGACGTTGGACACAGTTCAGGACTCGCCGGGCCACACACGCTCGCCGCAAAACATGTGGCAACGCGGTGGTTTTTGTTTTGAGCACTTGGGGGGGGGGGTCGCATGGTGGGTAGTTCATTCCTCTTGGCGGATGCAATAAAGTCGGAGCCCTGAAGAAGGAACCCTTTTCGTTGGGGAGGGGCTCCGCGTTCCTGAAGTGTTTCGCAGCTTGCCTCAGGTTTTCCTTAGGACATCGACGTTTAACTTATGGAAAACAGGGGCCTCGTTCCTTATTTAGGGTTCCTTAGGTCAACGCCCCGACTGTATTGAGAGTTTTTGCCGAAACGCCAAAGCTTCAATTGGCGGGGGCAACTTAAGCCTGACCAGCGGCGAGTTTACAGTCAGCCCGCATGGTATGGGCAACCTTCCCACGGGTATCCTTGCAACCTTGCCGCCTCGGCCCATCCTTTGCGATTCTCGCTGGCCAGCCTCCTTCGAGAAACGAGAACTTGGGCCTCCAAAGCCCGTCAGCCTTACCGCGCATCCTTATGATACGGGCTGGCTGCAGTTGTCCGTGCGCCCCCCCCCCCCTCCCCCCCCGCACTGTCCCTGCTACGTGCCTTCTGCTTGCCACCCTGCACGCTCTGCGCGGAGACGCTGCACGGGCTCGCCCGCCGAGCTGCGGCCACGGGCTGCGGCAGCGCCGCCCTGCGCAGGCGCGGCAGGGCTCCAGGATTGCACGCCGCGCCAACGCCCAGGTGCAGCTCGCGGGGCCAGTTGCCATGCTCGGCCTCGCCGAGCGCGTGGGGAGCTCGAAAAAAACCGTGCGGGCACGCTCGCCGAGGCGTCGGATGCACTGTCTGGAGGAAGGTCGCAGTGCGTAAGTCCCCCTCTGACAGGGGCAGTCTTTGGAGAGGCTTGATGTCCTAAAACGTTGTCAATCTGCTCTGGGTGGCGGTCAGGCTGGCGTCGGGCTTGCGTTCAGCGTCGGGAGCCGCCGAGAATGCCTCAGAATGCCGCTGTGGGAATGGACAGGCGCCATCGCTTTTTTTTCTGCAGGGTGGGTGTCAGGGTCATGGCTTCAGAGGAAGAAGAGGAGAAGGAGACAGAGAACAAACATACGAGTAAGAAGGAGCAGCAGAGGGAGCAGGAGGAGGAAGAGGAGAAAAACCTCGCCCAGGCGGGAAATGCGGATGATAAGGAGGAGGAGGAGGAGGAAGAGGAGGAATAGGCCGTTCGTCGCGGTCCAAGCCGTTTGGGAGCCATTCTGGGGTGTCCACCGTCTCTTTCGCTGAGCGAAGCCGGATCGGGGAGAGCCCCTCTGCTGCACCATCCCTTGTCGCCCCCTTGGAGCCGACGTGGGCGCTGGGTGGCAATCTTCGCCGAACCCCGTCTGATGATGCTGGTGGTGGTGGTGGTTGCGATGCAGGCTTCGCCAATACCGTCGCTGGATTGTGGACCCGAGTGTGCACCACAGGGGATGGGGTCGCTTTTCGGACAGCTCCCGCTGGACACCGCCCCGACGATCACAGAGGGGTACCCCTCGGCCTCCGCCAACCCGTACGCAGTCCGTTTCGCTCGGGACGTCTGGGCCTTGGTGCGTCGCTCGGAGTCTGAGCTCCTGGAGGCCTGGCTGTCCTCGGGCGCGTCTACCGACCCCCACATGAGGCTCAACATCAGGGCGCTCTTCATGGACCCCGACTTGAGAGCTCAGTACATCGCCCTGGGCCCAGGTGTTCTGAGGGACGAGGCGAAGACGGTGGCAATACCTCCTCCTGCTGGACTGTATGGTCCTGGTCCTGAAGTCCCTGATGGTGCTCCTGAGGTCATCCCCCCTCCTGGGGCGCTCTGGCAGTGCGGGTTACGAGGTAACGATGGGCACATCTGCGGGAAGGTCTTCGGCTCTAGGAGGGCGCTCTTGGCACATCAGAGGTTTTCAAACAACGGTGGGCACGTATGGAGATCCGTCATCCACACCAGCATAGTGACGAACGAGTATTTGTTGTGGGCTCGGGTTTCGTACACGTCGTATTGCACAAGAACATGCCGTTACAGCGGTGATGAAAAGGACGATGCCCACCGAATTCTACACCATACCACCATGCCATTGAAGAGCCCGATAGCCTCCACAGCCCTATGGCCGACATCTCTGCAAGGTCTATCTTCGGACATGACCAGTCTGGGTATTGCTGTGTTCGTACGGAGCCGTTTCGGGATCGAGCTGAGCTGACTCGACACTTCCGCAGCCACGCCCCGCGAGAGCCTCTTGCCTGTACTACTACCTCCGCGGGCGATGCACCGCTTGAGCGAGGAGGCGCTCGAGGCCGCAGCAGGCCGATCGAGGTCCAAGGGGCCAGGGGCAGGAGGCTCGCGGAGGGGCCTCTCTGGATCGGCCTACGCTTCCCGACGGCGTGGTGGAGGGCGTCGTGCAGGAGATCGCAGCAGACAGCGGCAGCCCCCATCGCAGGCGGCCCAAGGCGCAGGAGGTGCTCCCGCCCAGCGAGGACAACGAAAAGAAAAGCGGGAGGCTCAACAACAAAGCCGTGGGTCGCTCGTACGGCCTCCCGCCAGATGCGATCGACACGCTGCCCCCCATGGACGCCAACACAATGGCGAAGGTCATGCCGATCTTGGTGAGGGCGGGGCTGGGCAACTCGTACCAGATTCGGAAGCTGATGGCCGCGGAGTTCGTGACGATCACGCTGCCCGAGGAGCTCCCCATCGCGGCGTTTGCCTTCCATGCAGGCAAAGCGTATGCCGATCAGGCGGCCAAACTTCGGGACGAGCATCATCAAGACCCGTCGAAGCCGACTCCAGAGGCTCAGGTGGGCCCAGCGTGCGTGCAGATCTTCTTGGTGGTGGCCAACCGGCTGAGTCAGGCGGGGGACAGCGCGGGCGCCCGCAATGCCAGGATCTGGCAGGAGAAGCAGAAGATGCTGGACGGGATGGCCAACATCGACGACTTGATCGTGCTGGTGAAAAGTCTTCGGATCTCCAGCTGCTACAAGGAGGGGGTCGCCAAGCTCACGTTCGAGCTCGCGGACCCCAACTTCCAGAGGTGCCTGCAGTCGTGCGTCGCCCAATTGGGGGGCGAGATGCGACCAGTGCTCGCACCGCGCGGCAACGCGGAGCGGGTCCTCCAGCTGGCCATAGACGAGCTGGATCTCCTGAGGGCTGCGCCACAGGTGACCACTTGTGCGATTGCCACTCGACCTGCTGAGGACGAAGGCTGCGGGGGTATCGGGAGGACTGTACCAGAGGGTGTCCTGGGGAGTGTGGGCGTGGTACCACAGGGTTCGACTACCGCGACCTGGGCTCGTGGGGGGTACGAGTTACGATCGCTCAGTACCGTGGTACCTCGCTCCGTGCCTCCGCTCAGTACTTTGGTACTTGGACACCGATTTCGACACAACCGACGATTTCAAAGCCTCCCCCGACAATGATGTCAAAATCGCCTCTGTGGTCGATTTCTCAGCCGCCTTCCAGGACCCAGCCGTGCTCGAGAAGGATTTCAAAGTCGGGGTCGAGTGAAGTCGCTCGTGCGGTGATCGAGGCCGGCGCCCCAGCCACCCCTGCCGCCGCCCCCTGATCCTCCTCGTTCG